CGATATCTGTTTCGACACCTATAGTCAGATATTTCATAAGGCGATGGCATTTCACATCAGCTGCTTTCTGTCACCTTGGTACCATATATGGTTCACTCGACACGGGTTACCTTCAGATAGGGAAAGGGGAGGCGGTCTTTCTCGCCGCAAGAATTACGGCGTCCCTGAGCCAGTCCAAAATTGTAAAAGCGTACCGCAAAATAATAGGAAGGTTAAAACTTCAATGGCTCTCACCTTTGCCGGTCTCTAGTCAACCAGCCGCTTTGGGTTGGGCGGGGGAGCTCCTCACCTCGGTCGATATTTACTTCGTCTCTCCAACGACTTCCAGAGGACGAGTCATCTGGAGGCCAGCTACTTATGTCCAGCCAACCCTCCCTTGTTCGGGGCTTCGTACTGCCACTACGGCTGAGACAAGCGACGAAGAGCTAAAGTTGTCGACCAAGTGAAGAGAGGAGGTGAAACTGGATGGTTCAACAAACGCCACGTCATGGCACATCATTGCATATATCTTAAGCTTCGACTTGGGACGAAACCTAGCCCCTAAGCCTTGGAGTTGGTGGTGTGGATGATGCAGACATGTACCAAACACACGTCTCGTTGCGCCGATGCATGCCTCGCGCCGATGACCCATGCTAACAGCGATCTTCTTGGTACACACCAGAGCGTTCGACGGCCTCCCCATACCGAGGCACCGAGTTTCCTGGCTACGAATTGCCGTGGTGTTCCTCCTCGGCCACCCTACTCTTTGTTCACGGCCTCGCCAGCGTTGATGTCAGCACTTGGCATCTCGTCCAAGCCAACATCCGATACTCTACGGCCACAAATGGACCACCAAGAGTGACTGCCGGCGGCAAGGTCATTCTCAAACAGCATACTTGTCGGGTAATGGAACGGGCGACATGCTTTGACCGGCCTGCGAGAACCTACGGAACTGTCCAAGCAGGTGTGGCACCTGACAATGATGAGCAGAGGGACATGACTTGTAGAATACAAGCCATGCGGGCGACAGGTGATAAATGACACGTCAAGAACAGAGTACAACTCTGAAGAGAAGAAGCCCCCTATACCCGAAGACCAGGACAGCCGGTAGCTGTGGTGATCACATTCGCCAGGTCCTGGTTCTGGCCTCTCTTGGGTTATCCGATTACTCAAACGGTGCTTTTACAGCACTCCGACTTGCAGCATAAAGTCTCGTCATGAAAATATCGGACCGAGGGCTTCCACATTTCGTCTGGTCACCGGTACCTGATGCCCGGTCGCACCTGCCCTCAGTCTGCGGTATCTCGAGTCCACACCGGTTCTGCAGCTTGCTGATAGCTTCCACATTTTATCCGTACCCGCTCGCACTTTCCATCTGAACTTGACTTCTTGACCGGTCCAAGCCAATCAGGTGGATCCAGAGTTTGGCGACTTCTTCAAGACCTGACCTGCAGAAGTGGACTGTTTCGATTTTTTTCTGTCGTCTGGACAGAAATACAATGGACACACGTCGCAGGACTGGTCCTATTAGCACCACTTCCGGGCCTTCCCTTTCACACCATCTCCCAAGTGCTGCATCTGGCTTTTCAGCATTGAGCGCTTCTGTTTGACTTCATCGCTCTTCGCAAATCAAGAGGGATCAGTGGCTGTCTTTATCAGTCCGTATAGAGCCCATCGCTGCTACAGGCTGACGCTAAATCCTGTGAGGAGAGCTGCGGAGTCATCCTCCACACTTGCAGCGGGTTGGGCCACATGCGTGGTCTAGATCATTCGCGCAAGAGTCTTGGTTTTCGTGGCAGGAGCCCAAGCCCGGGGTAGTGGAAGGTCGACAGCAGGAGATAGCAGCGGGTGAGTGTTGTTGGCCCCAGTCTGCGAAGCGGGTGTAACGATGGCTGTCGTGTCGGTCACCCCAAGAAGAACCATACTGGGTTTCACAAGTCATCATGATACATCATGATACTCCATGACAACGAACCCGGTGTGAGCCAGGCCAGTAGCCTCAGCCCGTCAATGTTCTCAGCTCTGAATGATGTGGCTTTGTATGTGTACATGAGTATCTTCAAGACCAAGTCGTTAACCAAGTATTCTTGATAAGGAGTCCCAGGTTCATTCTCATGATTCGAATTCCGCAGCTCGTGGAACCGAAGCGGCATATCACTATACAACCATGGAGCTTAATTCTTCATCTATTCATGAGGTCATACATCCGACAGCTGCCTTCTCGAAGCGCGCCCCGAGAACTGCCGCCATACCCCACGACTCAGTGGGGGAGCCTAGTTGGGCCGAGAGCCAGCTGAACCCACGTAACAGGATCGACAGTCTCAGTCCAATCGAGGAGCCGCTATGGAGGATCGACGGCTGCACAGGTCTGGGCAGCCAGTACTATGCCCTGCCCCTTTTCCTGGGCGAGGTCCCACCCATGCGCTTCGACGTCTTCATTCCGGAGGAGACAGCCAGCTCCTACCTTGTCCGTCAGCTTCTCGATCTCAACGCCGCATTTCACACCAAAGATGTGACGCGAGTGCGCCGGCTGGGTATATCTCGTCATATCGTACGCACTCTACAGGCTTGGACTCGCGCAAGGGGTCTTGAGGGTCGGGATTCTGTGGCCCAGATGTACAAGATCTTACCGTTTGGCTCGCGCATTATCTTTGAAAATCTGGATCTAGATATTCGCAACATCAAGATTACCGTTGCGCCGACGTACTATGTGGAGAAGCAGCTACTTAGTCTTCCCAGCCTGAGCAGATTCCTCGGTGTGAATGAAAATCTTATCCCACAGTCTCTTGACATCTTTCAGCTGGTGATCGTCCAGCAGCTTCACGACAGTGTCTGTCTTGTTCGGATAAACCACGGCCATGAGACCCGGGAAGGAGAGAATCAGAGGTTATGGATCTTCAAGGCTCTGACAAGCGGCACAAAGTACCTCTTCACTGAGCTTCGCAACCTGCTCCTGATGGAGCCGCATCCTCACGTAATCTCGCGCCCAGAGTACCTGGTCACAAAGTACTGCCGATTCGGGGGCAAGACAGCCGTCGTGGGGTTCCTTCTGCAATACCACTCCAAGGGGGGTCTTCGCGATACCCTGCCAGTACTACGCATCCACAACCAGCTTTCACTCGCTTCCCAACTCAAATGGGCGGCCCAACTGGCATCTGCGGTGGAACACGTCAGAACCCGAGGCCACATGTTTTACCCGGATCTCCGGCTCGACAACATTGTCCTCTCGGACTCGGAGGACGTAGTCATGGTCGACTTTGAACAACGCGGCGTATGGTGCGAGTTCGGTGCTCCAGAGGTTAACTGTCTCGAGTACACACGCATCCTAGCCATGGACGACACCCTCGCCGAGGACGCAGACGTCGCCGGGATTCCGGACGAGGTGCGAGAACACTTTGCTGGTATCCTCACGAAAGAGCTCCCCAACTGGGAGGATCTTCAGGCAAGAGAGGACTATGCGCCCATGTTCGAGGGGGGCTATTCCAGCTATAATGTGCCCTGGCTTTGCTTGTCGCCGGTTGAGCAAGAGGCGGCAGAGGTGTATATGCTTGGCCGGGTGCTGTGGTGTATCTTTGAAGGGCAGAGCGCGCCGCAACTGGCTGCGGTGTGGCAGTCGTATCGCTGGGAGCCTGAGATTGAGTTCCCCGAGTATAGGCGTACGCCGGCACAGCTTCGTGACTTGATTGATCGCTGTACTAGGGGCAGACGAGGAAACTTGTCTGGTTTGATCACGAGGAGTGCGAAGAGCGAACTTGTCCTGCGCGGTCGTGACGGCGGGTCGACAGAGGAGGTCCTGGCGGCTGCTCAGCAGTGGTGGAGCGTCGAGGTAAAGGCTGCTGAGGAATTCTTGCGGATGCGAAGGGAGAAGAAGGACGCTGGGCAGTGGAATGAGAACTACTATGACAGGCCTACGTTGAGAGAGGTCGTTGATGAGTTGGAAGCTTTTAGGGTCCAGATGGGAACAGCAAAGTAACTCGCTCGGGAGGGGCGAGCGAGGAGTCGAGAAAGCTGGGTCTGGATATATCAACAGGATGTTCTCATGGCACACCAAAAGGGTTTCCTTTTCTCTCTGTCTTTTTTTCCTTTCTCGGTTTTCTCATCAGTTTCCTTTTAAGCATTTCATTCGGCATCTTAATGGACACCGAACTGCTCTGTCTCGAGACACCCTTACCAGAGGCGGCGATTGGGCATTCGGGAATAGGGGCAGTACAAAAGGATGGCATTGTTATTCTTTTTCTTTATACGTTTGTGGCAAGCTTGTATTCCGACATCATTGGAAAGGTCATTCTAGCACTGAAGGCCAATAATGGTTGGATAGCTCAGATTTCATGACCTTTTGGTCAGATATGGATTATGTTAGGACCTGTGTCTATGTGCATCATCCATAGCAAACTTTCATTCAGTGTTAACTTTCAAGTCAGCTGTTTGACAAGCTGGGTGGAGGGTCATCTTGGTTTCCTTTTCTGCCTCCTGGACGACTTGATTTCCAGAGTCCTGACTAGTTTAAGCAAGGCATAGAAGACTGGAGGCCAACACGACGCGTGCCAACCCATGATATTGTGGCATTGCAGTAGTAAGGCCACACACAGCTGACTACTGTCGTCTGAGTTCCGGCCATGACTCTTAAGATACTAGCTTCCATGATGAACGTTGGCCAATTCTGTTCTAACCGTGTAAGCACAGGTGTTGGTTTGCACCGTGCTGCCCTGGGGGTGTTAGATTCGACCACATCGTGACTTATAAAGAAAGGTTTGGCAACACTGGGACGGATGCTGAGGCCCAGAATGTATGAACATGCGCTCACTTTGGCTTTACTTAACTTATATATATCTTGCCACTGTCTCGTTAGTCTATCAAAGCCAACAAATTGAATACAGTGGTTGCTGGTCAGGTTCACCATATCTTCCCGGATCTGCTCAGCGACACGATCAAGATAACATTAAAGATGTCGAAGTAGGGGGCGATGAAGGAAGCATGGAACATCAAGATATGATAGAGGACAAAAGAGCAAAAGATAGAACTGACTGGGGCGCGATTCGAACGCGCGCCTCTTTCGAGAGTAGAAATCACCTTGTACTTGATATAGATACTAGGAAGAAGAGGAAGTTTTCTTCTTGACTCTACCGCCTTAGACCGCTCGGCCACCCAGCCACCAAACTGCTTTCTGCTTGACATGATTCATGTGAATACTAACTTAATAATAAGCTTCACATACAATAGCCCTTTCTTATTGGAACTTAACTCTAGGGTAAAGACATATTTAGGGTATGAACTACCCAACCCCACTAAAAAGTCAAAAAGAAGGATGTGAGGAGCAAAATAACAGTTCCATGATCCGAGGCGGGCTCGATCCGCCGACCTTCAGTGTGTTAGACTGACGTGATAACCAACTACACCATCAGACCTTGTTGCTAGATATCTTCTCAACTATCTCTTAGTGTTCAAGTATCTCCTCCCCAATCCTCTGGAGAACATCATCTTCTTCTAATCATACGCTGACCATGTCCGCTCACGAATGTTGTCCCAGATTTATGCCGGCGAATTAGACAACCCAACCTCTTCATTCCTCGGAAACACCCCGATCTCACCAAGACAATTCTCGATAGAGGATGGTCTCGCAACTTCTTCCCAGGAGTTCCAGGCTTCCAGATTCCAATCCCGTTTGCCACGTTCTCTGGCGCGGATAAGATGTCCGTCAGTGAGCCAGCAAGGGGTTCCGTGGAATATCAGTTCTTGGTTCAGAAGATAGTAAACAGTAACATGAATCTACGACCCTTCTCCCTGTCCCTACATCTAGGTGACAGCTGAGGTTGGCAAGCATTATCATAATTCCCCAGGCCGTGTTGTAAATATTACCAATTTCCAGTATGTAGGTACATAGGATGGCACATCCAAAAATAGGGGCCATCTCATATCGGGCCGCATTTTTCTTTGTGAAATTTCATTTCATATCTAGGTTTTGGGTAATATTTTCAGGGCCGAGCCGACCCAGCTAATATGATAAATGAATGTAAAGCAACCTCGTACGGGACGGATAAGCAAAGCACCGACCTCGAACCGACTTGATGGGAAATTTTGGCGTGTTAGGAATAGGCTTAACTGACTGCCTGCTTGTTTCTTGGGTTATGAACGAATTTCGGTTCTAGGTGATAATCCAGCGGATAAATTGAGGATTTACGCACGTCAATTTATCGCCGTTTTTCGGGTTTCTGAACTGGTTCGAAAACCACTGGATGTTGTGTCATGACTCGGCAGCGTCACTGGATGTTTTGTAACGAGTTCTCCGATCCATGAACTTGTGAGGTATGCCAACAGAGATGAGGTTCTGGTCATTGAAAACTGTTAGTGTACCATTGAATGGTCACTCGGGATGAGACTGGAGTGGTCCCCGGGTCGCCGCTCGTCCGGCGGCCGAGATAAGTCTTGGCTTACCCCTTTACGGTTCCGGTCTGTCGGATCTCGTAAGCTCGTAAAGGTTTCTTGGTCGTCACAGTCTTGCGACGATAACATGTAACGTGATACCCAACCTACATCCAAAATTGTGATTACTTGATACCGCAAACTTGCCATATGAAGCCAGCTATTACCTACAGGCTACCACTCCATATCATTGACCATCACGTTATTCAAGAACTGGGTATCACTTACAACCATAATTTCTCTGTAACCCTAACCCTGAAGACCATGATGTGATTGTGGTCGCCCTGTTTATTCAAGCTCTCCCTCATCATAAAACCCACTCGGCTCTTACACATGCCACATAATACTCGAGGGGGAAGGAATTTCTGTGCTCATTTGCCACGCACTCCTTCGTGTCTTGGCTTCATCAAGTGATGCACTGTCAGTGATGAAGTGTAACTGCTTCCTCGGCAGCTGAAGAGGAGAGTACCTTGCGTATTCGTAAGATTCCTTTGGCCCGCTCATCCATCATCTGGGACGAGTTAAAGGAACTGCGTAAAGGTGGATGAAAATCGAAGAAGCACATGAAATCTCCAACCTTATTCTCAATCTCGGTAATAAAAATCTGACACAAAATAGACTGTGCAAAAGTCATTCATGCGCGCGCATGAATGTCTCATTGACGATCACATGCGATTGATGAAAGGACAAACTTTAAAATTTCCCGACAAAAAGCAATTACCCCTTTTTTACCCCAACCTTTAGCTTCATTACTTTCAACGGTCTCCAGATTCACCCACATAAAGCCTCACACTACTGTAGGCTACATGGATGAACCTCCACACCATCATCGGCCTCGAGATAGACTATTGATTCCCGTTTAGGCATGTTTTTTGCGAGGTGCGGATCGACGACCATCCCGACGTCATCCAATCCGTTGGGTTCTTGAAATCGACGGAGCTAGGAGATATTCCTCGGTAGGGTAGGTGGGTAAGGCGTCGTGACGACTATCTCGTGATTATCTCCTCACCAAGTAGGCCGTATGTTCGGACACGGTGCAACTCCCTCTCTTCACGTGCCATATGATGCTTTTAGCAATTCATACAGACTGGTGTTGATGTTCCTAATGCCTGGTCTCTACCCAAGGGACTTAAGAAGAAAGAATGAACTCACAGAGACGCAATGCATATAGGCACCTTGTCGGCATAATACTGATATAATGACCTCATACTCAGACTTATGGATTACATGCTCTTTAAATACATTACAAACCTCCCGGTGGGAAGTAGAGCCTATTACTATTTATCAGAGCCAAAGAAGGTACAAGGCTGGAGATGATCAATACATTTGAGGTCGTAGAATGGTTTCTTTCACGGCCTCATTGGTCGAATAACAAACGTTGGTTACCGAATACGGGGTATTTCTCAGCCTTACCTGCCGGTGACATTCTCAGCTTCCATGACAGGTCTCCGGGCCTGAGTAGCTCAGCAGTGGCGCCTGGTCACCTGATATCAATTGAGGACTTCACTCACCACCAAGTTTCTGGTGCGGTCAACAGTAACAGCTACAACAAGCCATGTCATGAGAGTCTGCCTGCCTGTCTGGATCGATCTGCCGATACGTTTTTTGCGCCCCATCCACGATCGACAGACACCGAAAGCCTTGGAAGACAGAACTCGCCCCGCCTCATCCAGACTCTCGATTAGTCTAGTCAAACAGCCAAGTAGAGTAGGTCAATCCGCAGCGCAAGAGAAAATCACTAACAGACGCACAGTAAATATCTATACTGTACGGAGTACGTCGTGACGGTGTAAAAGCTCACTCATTCTCGTTGAGTCTCGGATCTGGATGTGAGAAGCGAAGGCCGATGATACTCTAGTCTATCATGATCATCGTTTAATCATCGATCGGCCAAGTCATGATATGTCTATATGTACATATATCACATCAAATATGTAGCGTATAGTACCCTCAGACACTAGACTAGTCCCAGTTCCAGAGAAAACACCTATACCCCAATCGACTATCCACGAAGAAAATTTGATTCCGAGCAAGACGGCATCACGGCAAGCAAGCGAGATACTGATAACCAGATCGATCGTGCGTCGTGTGCGGTCGGCAGATTCCTTCCACCCCATCATGTCAAGATCAAACGTGGAATTTTGGGTTTTATTTCTCGTTAGACCTAGCGTACACACAGATATCTTCACTCGAAAGAGGAAGGGCTGGGCTGGATGTGAGGCAAAAAAAGGAATCTAGGGAAGGGTTCCTACTGGGCTGAACGAGGACGTTTGTGGTCGACTGTCACCCTAGCACACTGCTCTGGCTGTCAACGGTTGCTTTTTTTCTTTTTGCAACCGTCAAAACGGCCACGCCACGCCACGCCATGCCATTGCCGACGTCCCAGGCCCGTCGTCAACTCCCGATCGTTTATCGTTTCCTGATGCTGCCCCGATTTCCCCGGTAGCGGTGTCCGGAACCGAAGGGGTGAGGACTGAGAAGGAGGGGGAAGACGAGCTTGGGAGGCTGGGAGATAGCCTAGACCTCACCGGCCCAGTACCGGTGTCAAACAAATTCCCCTTGGGGACTGGAGAGAAGTAGCGATACGACGATATGCGCGGGAGGTGGGATACACTGCAACTTTGCCATGAGATTCTGGACTTTGCTGGAATAGCTTCGCTTGTTGGCCAACATGAAGTCTGTGTGTTGTGGGTTTGCAAAAAAGAAACCAAAAGGCCCTTGCCTACTCGGCAGGGAGTTGACAGTACGGTACCACCTCACCACGCAGGAAAAGAAGGAAGCCTTGTCTGCCTTCTTTGTCCGCCAAGATGTCCGACTTTACTCGTCTTGGGATTCTAAAACGTCCAGAAGCAGTGAGATCTTGACATCTTGTTGTGTTTTGACCTCCTCTTATTCCCCTTTCGGAAAGATACATGATCAGCTCGCCTAGACTTTACCACATGGTAACGAATTAGGCTGAACTCCCCCGCCTTCTTTCTCTCTTGAGGAAAGTGCTTCGTTTGTTTGTAACAGCCTAGTGCTCAAACTAGCTCGATTCATTGGGTAATTGGGGGCTAACAAATGCAGGAACCGATCACTGTATCCGTAACTGCTCTGCAATTTTTGATATCATCAATACGGATATGAAATCTGCAGTCTTGTCTGCACTGCTGCACTGCAGTCCTGTCACATCTGCAATGGTAATGCAGGCAAGGCAGTTGGAGTCGGATTCGGTCTTTTTTGTTCTCAGTCATTCTCTCGGGAGTTGTGCTTCAGGGGATAGAGGTTCAACTCGCGGTCAAGAGAAAGAAAGGGGCGGGGAGACGGGGATTGGGGGGATCGTATAATATATTCTCACCGTACCACGACAGGTGAAGAAAAACAAAAGAGTGCGAGGCTAATTGATATCGCAGACCAATGAGAAAAAGGACGGCCCTGGAATTGACTGCAGTGTCATGGTGTTACAGAACCATTCGCCATGAACATCTGGGACTGGTTGGGACCTTTTTCACTTCCCCGGGCCGCCGTTGAAAAGGACAACAAAAATAACATACCGGGCAGCCGGGCTAAGACTTGTGTCAAAAGAGGAACCGGGCACGGGACTGAGTGAAGGAAATCCAAACAAGACTATTCGGAAACTACATCCGAATGGAAAAAGAGAATTATTAGGAAATTTACTTGAGAATACTTGGTGCAGTCAGAATGACAGCGGCTTCAATGCCCCTGATCCCGCCCAAAGGTAGCACTGCTAG